AGAATAGCTTGGGTGCTGAAGCAATGAAGTAGAACCAAGTAACGTGTCTGTTAGAAGAACAGATTAGATGAAATCCTGTTTCAATGCAGGAGGCATCTAGAGATCCTAAAAGTGCCTAAGGATGACACTCTTTTATAAAGTGACTGAGGTGTGGGCAAGGTAGCGGTTGGCAGCTGGAGGCTGTGCTTCCGCAGTGGGTGTTGCCTTCCAGCTGTGAATGGGGCAAGGAGGCACAGCAGTAGGAGAGTGATGGTGGAGAACAGGAGGAAATGGAAACACATCCGTCGAGATGAAATTATGCAGCCCTGAATTAAGAACAAGCAGTTGAAACCTGGTGGGCAAAGGGTCTTTAATGGATTTTTTTAAAGTTTTAAAATGTTTTTAGAAAGTAGCTTTTTAGTACTATCAAGATCTATTTCTGATGTTTTTCTTGCATCTGCTATGAAGGCAAGAGAGTAGGTCTTTAATTTGCACCTGGCCTATGCTAGTGATACAGTACTACCGCTTCACTCAGATTTGTGGCATATTTTAAGCGTTTCCACTCACTGATTCCTTTTGAAACAGGAGAGAGAATTTTTACCACTGGCTCCAGATGTGGATTATTCAGTGTTCGTAAGGCCTGACAGTTCTTCCAAAGCCCGGAGTCCCAGTGCCAGTCACTTACCGTCACATCAGACTGCGGGTAATTATGTGTAACTTCAATATACTGAAGTTGAGCTAGAGAAGGTCTTTATTTATAGTATTAATATCATCAATAAAATACACCTCTTCTTTGGAAAACATAGAGCTTCTTTTACTTAGGCAAGTGCATCTTGCTGTTCAGGCTTGGTTTGTAGTACATTCGACCCAGGTTTAGTATGTGTCTTATTGACAAGGAAGTATTGACTTGTCTCTTCCTATGCCAGGCTGTCTTCCGTGGAAGTTCATAATAGCTACAGTACACTGTTTTGATTGTGTTGTAACTACCTAATTTTGAAAAATTCTGTTGTGTTTTGTGGTTTGTTGTCATATAGTTTATGCACCTTCACTTGTTTTTTTATTTCCTGTTAGCCCCCAAGCCCCGTAGCCAAAGAATTTTTTTTTTTCTATTCTGATGATAGTGTGGAACATCAGTAAAATATTGAAATATTTTTTGTCCAAGATGGACAGCAGTAACATGAAAGACAGGAATTGACAGAACTTAACCATGTTAGGGACTTCTCAGGTCTTTGGTATGTTTTGAGGCATCGGGATGCTTTTGATGCGGTGCTTATGACAGTCTTTGTTGTGGCAGACCTGCTTACAGTTATTAGATTACATAGGTCTGAATTGCTGCTTGTTTTGCAAGATTACTCATCGTTCACAATGACATTCTCCTAGTACAATTTACAAGAGTAGTCAAGCTCAGCATTTTAGGACAAATACATTGAAATGCACAACTCTCAGTAATGAACAGTATCACCTCTAATAAGTGAGAAATGTTCAGACTTTTCATTCTCTTTCAGTGATGCTGCTGGAGTTTGCTTCTACACCAGGAAATTTGCAAGAATCTTTTTCAAAAAGAAAGAAGAACTTCATCCAGAAATCTCTGAAAAGAGTAGAAGAAATAAAAAATAAAAAAGAGAGAAAAAATGAAAAGCCAGAAGACGGAGAGTTTCAAAGAGGAAAGTCTGAGAAGTTAAGCAGGCAAAAGGAATCTTTTATCTCTGGTAGGTTTACTTGAGGACAAGACATCGCATTAGGTATGCTTTTAGTTGCTGTTTCATATTGAAGTATAGATTTCACATTTGTTGCATCTTTGCTATTGCAGACTGGGATATTCTTTAATTTGTTTTCTCGGGGAGCTCCCCCCCCCTGCTGTCTGGCTACCTCTTCAGTGTTGTAAAGGCCCTTATGGGTCCTCTTCATATTTTCACAGTCTGCCCACACATCTACGGTCATAGGCTGTCTCTTTGCAAATAACAGTTGTTTATCAAAGAACCACCACATTAAGTGAACTGATGGGTCTCTGATGTCTGCTAATGGGGAGTTGGAAGTTGGCTGCTGAGAAGCATGGCCGGCTTAAAGTACAGGCAGCAGCCTAATGAGGGAGACTAGGAAGACTTATTTTCAAGACAAGATGTCATCTCCATTGTGTCTGTTCTGCTCCATCTTTTTTTGTAGCGTCATTTAAAAATCTTTGAAACCTCTCATGCTTTTGAGTTAGCTGGACTGGAGACTTAAGATATGTTTGCTTTTTTTTTTAAAGAAAAAAAAGGTGCAGTTGCCAATCAGTTGAAGAAAGTAGGAGAAGTGAAGGTGTCTTCTCCAGAGGAGAGGAAGTCTGGAGAAATTGAAATGCACCAGCGTACTTCAAGGTATTGCATGAACACAAGCGGGAGAAGCTTGGATTGTGAAACCAGCAGCAGTTCATCTGTGTCTCGTGAAAGCTACTGGTCGGAGCACAGTTTGGCATCTTCCAGTTGGACCCTCGGGGCATGCTGCTCAATACACAGATGGTGGGAGGGAGGATGTTGATGCAGGTACCTGTTGGGAGATTCCCTTGCAGAGCTGGCAGCAAGAGCCATGGCTGGCAGCTGCTCCGTTCATAGTGCTAAGGCAGCTGTGCCTGTTAGCCCATGAAACTGGATCACACCTGAAACACAGTTCAAAATTGTACTTGGGCACTTACTAGAGGTAACATGCAAATACAACTCCTGAAAGGGGTGTTTGTTGGATACAGGCAGCTGAAGAGGAATTTTAAGAGGTTCTAGATTATTGGGAGAGCCGGATCAATTTCCTCGTTTAATTTCTAGCAATTGAGACAGTATAAACCTTTAAGCCTGTTAACTTATTTCTGCTTTGCCACTTCCCTTCCCGACAAGATGATACAATTTTTTTCTACTGTTTTGACAGACTTTATAATCAACTTGCGGAAGTAAAAATCAGAAAGGAAGAAAAAACGAGGCAAGAAACTTACGCTAAAAACAGAGAAAAGGCTAAAGAGTTTCAAAAGGTAATAGCCTACTACACTGTCTTCTTACCTGGTTAGTTCTCATGACTTCACCGAGCTCCTAATCAGACTAATTGAAACATAGTTCTGTGGTGTGAGTGCAGCTGAAACGGAGACCATCAAACCAGTCTGGATTTTAAGTGATGCTATTGGCATATCCCACTGAAGAATTTCCTTGTCAACACAACTGTGCTTGCTAGCAAGAAGTATCTCTTAGGGCTGAAATTTTCTCTAAAGGGTGTCTGCCTCAGGCCGAATTTTTCTGGTGACTTTAGGTTAAGCAAAAAGGCTGTTAAGGGACTCCAGCTGCTACAGTCTGCTTGGCAAAGGAATGACAGGGGGTTTTGTTATTAGTCCAAACTTGACTGAATTTCCATTGTCAGGCAGTCTCTCTGTTTCTGGCTTTGTTGGCTACTCTAGGTAACTTAGGATTCTGCCTAGCTGAGCATGCCTGGACTTAATGTTGCAAGAATCCTGTCTGGGTTTGCCTGCAGTTGCTCTAGAACGGGGGGTTCAACAAGCAGACTTGAGGTGTTAATTCTCCCTGTCCCCTTCCTGGGCCTCAGACAACTGGAAGGAAGGAAAGGCATGATAATCCCGACAGGCTGGGAGTGCTACTGGGGGCTCCAGGCACAAATCCTGCCTTTATAGCACTGACCACCTCAACTTTTTTGTGGCAGAATAAATTGCCACTCTTTTTATATTGTTTTACAGATTCCCTCGTTAACAGGAAATAAGACAAATAAGTACACCTTTTCCTTGAAATCTGTGGGCTTTTTGGAGCAGTAGCGTAACTGAACTCACTGCCCCATTGTCCAGACCTGCACTGTCCATTACTGATGCTCAGGTTATACATGAGCATCAGTTGTGCCTACCTAACTTAACTACACTGTTTTTAGTGTCTCACAGTTTGTTTTTTTTGCAGAAAATGCTGGAAAAACTACGAGCCAAGAAGACTTGGAAAGCACCGTAACTGGCAGAAGACTCTGAGCAACAAGGAACACTTCTGTATTAGTACAATCCAAGAGACACTGAATTAACGCAGACTTCATTAACTTAATCATGGAGCCATTAGGAATCCTCAGCTTTAAGCTGTAGGAAAACTGTAAGTAAACACAATCTGCACAGTACCCTAATATTTTAATGAGATCACTACAGCAGCAGATTAACTACTGCTTTAAACAGTTTGTCTCAGATTGAGTAGACTGACATTGTGAAAAGCCTTTCCTGATGAGCATGAGCATTTTAAAGGGAGATCATACTAACTGTTGTAATATACATGTATAAAACATTTCCAAATAAAGTGGTTTTTTAATAAGATTTGAATCCTCAGGATGCAAGATGAATTTCTTTTGTAAAGTTGAAATTTTAATCTGTTCTTTGCACTACATGATTTTAGAGTAGGAAATGTGGGTTCCTGCAGTCAAGAGGTACATCTTAAAGCACACCTGAAGGTAGGAAGAGAGTAAAAACCTTATCCTGTTACTACTTCCAGATGTAGTTTAGATCCAAGTTTCCTGAGCTCCAAGTCAGAGCTAAGTAATTACATTATCAGGACAAATGCAAAGCTCAACTTTTGCTGTGAAGTTGAACCTAGTTACCAGCTGGTAGAAGAGCAGGGCAATTTCATTAAATCTGGTCCTGTTTAAAATACAGCAGAGTCTTGGAAAGCTTAATTTTGGTGAGAAATTAACTACCATTTAGGCTTGTTTTCAGTAATTTTTTTCAGTGCATGGTACTGCAGTTAGTACATGTGGTTAGTTAGTATGTTACCACCGCCCTCAAGTAAAGAGCATGAACCAAATCCAGCTTGTCATTCCATGGAGTCAAGCGAGGTGGAGGCTTTCTGCAATGCAAAGATGAGCTGTAGTACGTACAGTCTCATCTTCACCCTAGTGGTTCTGCAAGGGCTGCTCAGGCTCTTGTGCACAGATGTTCTCCCAACTACACTTTGCTACCAGCAAGCCAGAGGTGATCAGCCCTCCTTTCTCTGCTTACAGTATAGCAACAGGAAATAATCCCAGGCTGCAGCTTTCAGCCATGTTTTATTTAAATGCTGTGATGTTCTGTACAGAATAAACACCTCTCCAGAGCTCTAGTACAGTGGAGTTCAGTGGCAGAAAATGGAGGGAAAACAGCTGATAAAGCCTTTTCCAGTCAAGTTACAACTTGCTACACTCAGCTTAGTTAGCTGCCTGCTTGGTGTCACAGAAGAGCTAAGTATCCATCCTAAGGTTTGCCCCTGCATCTCCCAGGAGGGCAAAACAGACAAGTCACAACTGAGAGGGTAAGGGCAAAGGCTCCCTGTGCTTCTGAACTGGTTTCTAAATAACATGCACCATTTCAATTTACAGAGCAGTAAGGGAAGTTAGAATTAATGTTTAATTCTAATTACTGCAATAAACACTCTAGATAAGGTTCTTCCTCTATTTGGAAGAGCTGTGCAGTTCTTTGCAGCAGACTTGCAGCAACATCACCAGGACCTGAGAGAGGAAAAGCATATATTAGCACTTTTTCTTAAAAGAAAAGCCATTTGATCTCTGTTGTCTTCCTCACACTTAGCATAACATGGCTTCCTCTAGTACAAAGCTATTTAATTTCAGGACATGGTGCTGGTATAAAAGCAGCAGTGCAGGGAACATGTGCATGCACCCCTTACTAGATTGTTAAGGGGCAAAAGCACAATTTCCAATGCCAGCTCCCCAAGCACCACAATTTTCTGTTTCCCATAACTACCTGCAGTGCCCATAGCATTCCCACCCTGCACTTCTTTCCTCCCTCACCTAGTTGTTCCAGGATTATCCACTCTTAAGACTTCCATGCAGCTCTAGGAGTATATCATATTGCCAAGGGAAAAGGAAGCAGCAGTTAAGTTCCAAGACTGCTCATGCCACAACTGTATCAACCTGTTTTTCTCCAGCTTCACAGGCTGCAAAGTCAACTAGTTTCAGAATGAAACCAAGCAGCCTCTTCCCTACATTAGCATCTCAAAAACCTGAGGGCAGTAGATAAACATCCTTTTTCATTCCAAGAGGCCTCACTACATAAGGTGTATCTCCTCATAAATAGACCATAGCACACACTAAGTGCCCATGGCATCCTGCAGAGGATTTCAATATGCGGTCACCGCGTTAAGAGCTGCTGGTTTTTCAGCCATGCAAACCCTCTTTGAAGTGACCTTGAATTTCTTTTTAGTACCAGCAATTTCACTGAGCACTCTTACCTTCAGACTCTCTTTAGTGGCACTCCAGAGCTGTTTCTCACCCCTCTGACATGCAGTGACTTGGTAGCAGACACTATGGGTTAGAGAGTCAGATTTGGTTAGTGTAAGCAAAGAGTTGCAACAAACCGAAGGTAGATGTAAACTGCATGGGGCAACCTTTTGTCTCCCCCTTTTGCTTCTGTGTGCATGACAACCATCCTCTCGACAGCAGCTTCTGGAGGCTAAGTTACAAAGGTTCTAACTAGAACTTTTGTTCCTCTGTAGCTGAAGTGTTGGAGGTGCCCAAGGATACAGCCACATAACTCCTCACTACCTCCCAGCAGGAACTTGCTTTCATCTTGACAGCAGCAGAAGGGAGCACTGTGTCTCTGGCCTCCACCAAAGCTTTGTTCCCAGCAGACTTAGTGCCACATAATGCAGCAATTCAAGAGTCTGATGGACTTGCTTTACGGTCATGTCCACAGCTCACCAGAAACAGCAACATCCTAGCAGCCTTGGTAATGACCAGGTACTGTCCTCTCACTGCTGTTACCACCATCTTAACTCAATATTCAAGTTGCCCATCCTTTCTTGTTAAGGACCAATCAATCATGCCAGCACATAAGCCAAGTTGTATACCAACAAGCCTAAAATCTGTTAAAAGCTCCAAGTACAGAGGAATTCCTCACAACCAGTATCAGTCTTTCTTTCAGAAACTAGTACTACAAGTCACTGCGCAACTCTGACATCCATTTCAAGTATATATACACACAGAAAAATAACTTGCAGCTAAGCAACCTGCCCAGATACTGCCAAAATCTGGGGTCATCACTGCTCAGTAATCTCTGCTACTAGACAACCATTTCTGTGCTTTTCTAGAACAGTTTACTGAGGTTTCAGTGTTCTAGAGTCAGACCAAGTTAACACACAAACTGTAAAGTAGCATGAAACCATCTGAACTGAACAAGTAACTCAGTCCTTACCTGTCAAACAGGCTATCTTCCACAGCCAATCCTTTTCACACAGCAAAATTCATTGTTCTGTATCCTAAAGCACCTGGTTAAAAAAAAAAGAAACTAAATGCACTTGCCAAGTTCCAGAGGCCAGTATCCAGTTCTCACACTGGAACGTGAGAATAGAACGCAAGTACACTCAAATCCTCAAAGATGACAAAGACTGTATCAGCAAAAATACCAGGTTTAACAGACACAGCAGAACGAAAACCAACGATGCCAAATGCTGAACTCCTGTAGCACTGTTTTTTGAACATCCCATCAGGAGAATGCTGCTGGGTGCAGATACCATACAGTGCAACAGCTGCAGTAGTCCTTCATCCACAACTGCTCACTTTAACATTCAAGCTTTTTGTATGCACCACTTAGTGTCTAGTGATAAGCTAAATTGATGTACTCTTCGTTTCACAAAAGCTGCCACACAACTAAGAGGGAAAACAGAGTCCATGAATTTCACCTAACAGGAACAGCAGCTTCAAAATTCTTTTTAAGTTTTTATATATTTCTACTGTGAAGGATTTATACTTCTTCCAGAATAGTTTGCTTGTTTTACTTTAAACTCTGCATTCTATAGAACAGAAGCCAGGAATTTTAACAGTACAGTGCTAAACTAGCTGAGCTGCTCAGAGATTAACTCTTTAAACTCAAACTTACAGACATAAAAGAAAGGCTGAGAGAGTTGGGGTTGTTCAGCCTAGAGAAGAGAAGGCTTTGGGGAGACCTTATTGCAGCCTATCAGTACTTCAAGGAGGCTTATAAAAAAGATGGGGACAAACTCTTTAGCAGGGCCCGTTGGAACAGGACAAGGGGGAATGGCTTTAAACTAAAGGGGGGTAGATTTAGATTATATATAAGGAAGAAATTCTTTATGAGGGTGGTGAGGCACTGGCACAGGTTGCCCAGAGAGGTGGTGGATGCCCCATCCCTGGAAACATTCCAGGTCAGGTTGGACGGGGCTCTCTGAGCAACCTGATCTAGTTGAAGATGTCCCTGCCCACGGCAGGGGGGTTGGACTAGATGACCTTCAGAGGTCCCTTCCAACCCAAACTATTCTATGATTCTATGAAAACCCAATATTGCTGCTCAGTGTGAAACTATCAAGCATCTACTTGACACAGAGCAACAATGCAGCGCATTTATGTCGTCACTTCAAGTTCAGACAGACAGCAGTGCTGTCTCTTCTTACCTATAGCCACCAAAACAAGAAATAATCACTCCTTTGTGATCAAAGGGGGAACAGTTTGTTTCAAGCCATCCAGAAAATTCAAACCACCCAGAAAATTCAAACCACAAGAAGTAGTGTTAGATATCAGGTACCTACACAAAAACCTGGCTGAAGAATAAGTTCAGCCCATGCGATTCAACATGTTAAGTTACACTTGAAGTCCCAGAACACACCATCTTACCAAGACTCTTACCAAGCTTTTCCACTTGAATAATTTTTTCCATTTGTATCAAAAGCATAAGTCAGTACCTAAAGGAGAACATAATGCATTATTACAGTTCCTAGGATGCTCCACCTGCAGAGATTTGTCTTGCAGTTTTATCCCACAGAGCTAACAGGTAGTTCAATGGGTAAAGCGAAACCACAAGTTTATTCTGTGAGGCATTTCCAACGACACGAACCTACAGAGGAGATCCTATCGGGATAGACCTCACCATTTCTGGTACTATAAATTAACACAGTAGATAAAAATCAAGCAGACTGGAAAGGTATCTCATACAGATCCTACTGAGTGCCTTTTTAACTTGTTTCAAGACATTTGGGAGAAGGAGGAAGGTAAATGATACTTCATCTTACCCAAATGTTAGTGTAACTCCTTCATATTAGCAACTAGCAATAGGACAAGAGGAAATGGCCTCAAGTTGCACCAGGGGAGGTTTAGATTGGACGCGAGGAAAAACTTCTTTAGTGAAGGAGTGGTTAAACATTGGACCAGGCTGCCCAGGGAAGTAGTTGAGTCACCATCCCTGGAGGTATTTAAAAGACGTGTAGATGAGGCGCTTAGGGACATGGTTTAGTGGGCATGGTGGTGTTGGGTTGACAGTTGGACTCGATCTTAGAAGTCTTTTCCAACCTCAATGATTCTAATTCTATTCTAACAGTTTTAATGTTAAAAGTTAATGTTAACTGAAAGGCAAACAGAGGGAATGAACTACAAAATTGTACTCAAACAGAACCCTCCCTATAACTTTCCTTCTAAGTGTTAACTTACTTGTAGAAGTAAAACTGTCAGTTTAAGCAGTTAAGCTGATCACCCCCTTTTCAACTGAGAAATTTGTAAGAGTGCTCTTTGGATAAACCAAAGTTAAAGTAAGTTCTTCACTTTAACAGAGTGAATGCTACATTAAAATACAGTAACATAGTGTTGAAACAAGTCCCTGAAACCCTCCCACAAGTCAGTAAGCTTGGTTTGATACAGAGTTACAGCCACTGACAACCAGAGCCCTTCCATCTTTTAAGGAATATGCAGAACTTCAGACATCATACTAACCCTAGAAGGGGCTTCAGATTTCTGTGAAATGGCATCCTGCATTTCTTCTTTTTCTCTAATTACATACCACCTGAAAAAACAAGGTAAGGTTACAAACCAACATATATGTGTGTACAAACCAGCAGAACCTAGAGCAATACTTAGTACTTAAGTGGTTCTAACCACCACAGGCGTTCCCAATGCCTCTATTTGGAATCACACTTAAAGCTACTATAATGTCTGAATATTATCCTATTTAATTTGACAGGTCGTCTTTATGTCCTGTTTATTTTTAAAAGAAAGTCACAGTGTCATAATCCTTGCTCACTGACACAAAACACTGTTAAATACTCAGATGCCCAGGATAAAGTGACATGAAAAGGACACTCATGTAATAGATTTGTTCAGAAAGGCTGTTCTCATTCACTCTCTTCAGAGCAGTTGAACATTTTGCCAATCATCACAACAATTTTCTCACAGCATTCTCAAGTTTGGGGGAGTATAAGCTCTTACGTTTTCTAAAGCAACACTGCATCTTCTCAGCAAGAAAAAACAGCAGTATAGCCAGCCCACCAAGTCAGACAGACAGCTAACCTGCAACAGGCAAGGGTTAAAAAAAACAATCACACTAACTTACCAAGATGCTAGTTCAGACTGGACTATCATGTGGACTTCCTAAAAAGTAAATTGTTGCATCTGAGTAACAGTTCCAAGTTTCTTCAGTATTTTAGTAATTTATTAAGACTTAGGCACTTTTATACTGAATGTGAAGCAGGCAGACTGTAGTCTAGTTATGCTGTCTTGAATGCCAAAACAAGGAGTTTCCTTCGGAATCAGAGCCACGGCCCACTCTATCACACAACTATCAACAAAATCTATCTGCAGTTTAAGAAATTGGAGGACTACGGCACAGAAGATACAACTAAGGGAGTTACCCAACAGTCAGCTGGTACTGTGATGTAAAAAAAACCACGTATGAGATACCATTATGAAACAGCTTACAAATATGCTCTAATAAACCATCTACAAGACTGCAGCACTGCATGCATTTTTCTTCTACTTGCTAATTCTACTTCCTTTAGTAGGCAGGATGCAAAACAAAAACATCAAAACAAGCTAATCCTTGGGATTTTATAGTAGCTACATTTTGAACTATGTTTGCATAATTGTCCCACTAAGTAAACCTGTTACAGGTCTCATTGTCACCACTGCAATTAACTTTACAGTGAGGAAAGCATAACCTGTTATTCTTCTATAGCCACGTTTTTCAATTCAGACACACAGCAAGTTGTGTCTATTTGCTGAATAACGAGGCATAGCAATTAACTCTTCACAATCTCTGCAGAATAGCTTTAAAAGAAACCTGTCACTAGCTGCCATCTGGTACCTGGATTTGTGTTTCAAAATAAAATACTGCTTCTTTGTAAAGAGGCAGCCAAAAAGCTAAACACTTGAACTTTTATGATCCTCATCCAACTACCTCCACCTAGGAAAAAACAACTATTTTCTCAATACTTACCCTTAAGTAGAGGCCTTCCACTGTGTTCTAGACATCACAAAAAAATTCAAGAAGAAATATTTTCGAACAAGGTCATCGATTTAACTATACTTTTATCTCGTAACAGTTCAACAGTTCCTCAATGTTGTATTTGACAAGCTTCCCAATAAGAAACTTTCAATCTACTTGTTTCAACAGAAATACCAAGTTTAACCAGCACATCTGCATGAAAACCAACGATGCCAGCTGCTGAAATACTATAGCACTGCTTTTTGAACACCCCATCAGGAAGATACTGCTGGGTGCAGATACCGTACAGTGCACTAATCAGTCTGATTACTTGCTGTGGAAATAGTACTTGTCTGAAGAAATCCAATACTCTTATCCTGAAGTGCAGAAGACACACAAAGCTTACCTCTTTCGCTAACACGTTTCACAAAAGTCCACTGAAGTAATACATTTGTACATCAGCAGGCCACCAAAGAGCCGTAAGAATTCAAGCACTCCAAAAAAGTCCCAACTGCTCACTGCTGCAGAGCTGGTGCGTTCATCTGCAAAGTCTGGAAAGAAATTGATCTAACTGAACTACACTTCTGCAAATCTGCAACGTGAAACTCATGCCCTAGATTCATCACTGTTTGAATGAATCGCTGTTCGAATACATGCAAATATTGTCCCTTCATATAAGTAACACAACTAATATGTTCATCAGCTGTGGGTTGCAAAAGAAGGGTTTTTTTCTAAGCACTAGGTTCCAGGTTTTTGTCTACAGCAACAGACAAAAACTGAACACGTGCTGGAACAGACTGAATGCATCAGCTTTCATTTTTCCACTGTTTTTGAAACAGCATTTGAAGCTATTTGTCAATTTACTATATACTTACCATTAATAACTCTCACCTTCTGCTACTTTTTTTCTGTTTTTAGAGACAGGTATAGTTTGGACTAAGGTAACCGTGGCAAGAAGTTCAATATGATATGCCGTCGTAAGAACAATTTATACTATGTCAAACGGGTATATTATCTAGTCCAGTACCCTTACTACCACAATGGCCAAATAAGATGCCCTGTTCCTGTCCTCTTACTTAAGTATGTTCTTGTAAGGCTTTATTACTTGCCCAGCTTTAGCTCAGGACTTCCCACATTAAAGATGTTTTCCTGTCCAGTAATCTTACATGGTGTTTTCTTCCATGCTATTTCCTAGACTCTCCTGAAGCCATGCAAACTTGGTAACATCCTACAGCAAGAAGTTTCACAGCTTTAGCAATACATACATGCAAGACTACCAGCTTCTTTCTGCTGTCCTCCCTGTTCTTGCACGGGACATGCATTAAGATGAAATTTTACCACAGGGAAGCGATCAGAACCTGCAGCTGTCTGATACACCCCAGTACAGAAGGTGTGGGTGGGGCACCACCAGGAGACTAAGTGTTACAGTAGTTCTCCAACATCTTCAGCGGAGAAGATCCCAGGTAGTGTCCAAACCAAATCAGATAGATCAAGTTGCCCTGCAGCATTCAACATCAGGTGAAACCGAAGTATTTCTATACATAACTTCTAACAAAAACTGCATTTAACATACAAGTACTCAAGAACTCAAAGTTTCAGTTTTCATTCAAGCAGAGGCTACAGGCTCCAATTTTGGTCAGACTGACAGAAGAGACGTTGCACTGAACTCAACACCTTGGAAGCTTCACACAGACGCTGCACAGCTATGAAACATTGTAATGTATTCGTACTTGGAACTACGGAATACCGTTTTTCCAAAACATTTTGTGACGCAAATCGGAAAAGCTACCTGAAGAAAATAGGAACTGCAAACCAAGTAACAGCTTACCTTGCACATCAAGAAAATTGAGCAGTATTTCACCTTCCAAAAGCAACATAAACTAGAAGAAAAAAAAAGTAAAGTGATAAGAACTATCAGATATGGTCAAATAACTGAAGATTCCTACAGACAAAAGCTAGGTTTCAGCAATCAATGTAACAGTTGTAATAAGCTTGATTTTCATGTGTATTTATTCAGTTCTAATCAGAATTGAAATTTAGTTCATTTCTGAGTCACTCAGCAGTTGAACAGAAAAATTCATCACATGAACTGCAGAATGAGCAAGACTCCACATACCACCTCGCTATGCCTTACCAAGCAAGAACCCCACTCCTAGATCCAGGATGAGTCTTTCAAGCCATACAGAATTTCAGGTAGATGCCTAAAAAGTTACATTTAGCCATTAATTTTAGACCAATATTAAATGGGATCTTCAGCTAATGAAGAGTAATTTTTGCAGTCTTACTCCCTAGAGCTACCAAGTTGCAACTGGGAAACCCCAAACTTCCTTTACAAAGATTTGGGACATTAATTCAAGCATGTAAGGAATGCAACTTGACCTGCTCTCGTTATACGTAGCACCTATTGTAAATCTCATTGTCAATCACGTTTTGAAGGAAAATTAAACCAGTAGATCTTAAGTCTTTTTCTGACAATATCCCTGTTCAGCACAGACT